AGAACTATTAGAATACAGGGTTAACATAAATATAAAATCGATCGAGAAGGTTAAAGTGGAAATAAGGATTATTGGTAATAGGTTGCGTTTCTTTAGTCGGGCTTACCAATGTAGAACTATGGTCTACTATGATATTAGTACTGCTCTAATAATAGACCTAATCCTAAATTTGTAGATTCGTCATGATATAACTGCCTAATCTATAAGATCTTACGTGGAAGTCACACCATCGACTACGCCAACTCACTGTATCGTATCAATTACCAATACATGATGAAGAACAAGGTTAGGTTAGAGAAGGAACAATATATTTAATATGAATAGAGACCACGCCTGCATGGCCGAGCCATGCCACTCGATCAACTCCAGTCCATTCAATTCATTATTCGCGCCTTCCCCATCGTTAGGTATTTCTCCGCGTTAAATATTGAATATCTATTTTCTGTGTAGTCTCGTGTTCACAGCTTTGTGGATTGTGTGGCTATTGTCCAATGCCACTACAACAGTACCCATGTGTTTATCAGAAGGGATAATGTGCAACGTCTTTTACAACCGGCCTACGATGGTCCATTTAAGGTGATTAAAAGAGACGACAAAACTATTACGGTAGACAAAGCTGGAAAAACGGATGTAATTAGCATCCACCGAGTCAAACCAGCTTTCATCGAAGCCTACGATCAGCCAGTACATACAGATACTGCGAAAACCGTTGAATCATCGAAACGTCAGTTCCAATCATCAACGACATCGACGAACACAAACAAAGAGAATCCAGTAACCATAAAGTCTGGTCGAAGAGTAAGATGGCCCCAACGTTGTGTCGCTACAACCTTATATTAATAATTTTCTACTATTTTAAATATTAATTATAACTTTCACTTCATTGTATACACATGCATTACTAATTTCATGCTATACGCTATAAAACTCAACATATATTATGTAGCCCTACACTTACACGTATAATTTTTATTTAAAATGTAAAGCAATACCACATTCCTTCTATTTATTGCTATTATTTTTTATAACCTCACGGACGGGCACAAACCAAATGTACAGCACGCACTAACTCCATCTTAATTTTGTACGAACCATTTTTTTAATGACTGTAACTACCCTACTCAGTTTACTACTTTTTTGTGCAAACACAGACATTTTTCCATATATCTTTGTTTGCAGGGGGGAGCTATTATAGTGACTCACGTGCAATCGAGTTTAGTTCAGTCAAGGTCTTTTGTTGACCTATTTAATGGACAAATTCATCCATGATATAACAACTTGTTGTACTATCTTTATTATTATGCTTGTATGAAATACATATGCTTGAACATTGTTTAGCGCCTACGCATGTATTCATTCTGCTAGCTTCATTATTAACTGCTTAATCTATTCGCTGACTCATCCATTATCCTATACATATATATATGTGTACATTTGCACCCATTCACTACAACTACTCGCTACTGCTACAATCGTAGTTCGCTTGCTCATTCATTTTGCCTCTCTGCTGTCTGGTCCGAATTATCTACTAAATAAACTGTAGTAGCTGCTTCTTTTTGCATTCCGATTCCAAACATCGTTGAAGATTATACGATAACGGTACGAGGGTGATTAATTATCGAAGCACAGCCACTACGATGGTCATTGTTATTATTATCATTACTACTACTACTGTGGTGTGTGCTGCTAATATCGATATAAGTAGTATATGCCATTACTCGTGAACGGAATGTCCGGCAGCGGAGAGACATGAGGATCAAACAGTATGGAATGGAAGCAGAGTGCAATTTGTATGAAAATTGTAAATCGTATAATAGTAGTAAATAGAATTCAGTCAATACCTGGAAGGCTTGATAAACGTGACGTTAAGCGTTAGTCGTTAATCAATCAGTTTTACATATTTTAGTTTCACTGAAGATCAGTCGTCACTCAATAGTGAAGTATGAATTTATGTAGCTGGGTGTTATTGAGTGCACCATTCCTCCCAGTAGCATTACAAGTAGGCCTTGATGATGAGTGCTAGCCAGTATGAAACTTGTGTCAAGATTGGATATTCAATCATTATACAACAAAATTAAATGTGTGGTAGTAATAATAGTAATAATAATAATAATTTATTCTCAAATAACAGTTTGTTACATGAGGCATGCCAGTTTACAGGCAAGATCAAACTGATACAAATGATACAATATCCACTGTAGTAAATTACATAGCTGGGTTGATAATTTAGAAGATACGAATGTTAATGGTTTTAATCAGCAACACAGTTGGCGCGCTTCACGAAAGTTGCGTTGCGAATGTGCAACTGATGGTCAAGGATAGGTCTATTGAAGTTGAGAGCTTCTAAATGCTGCAACCTTATGGCCCTTTGGAATGTCTTTTTTTTTAAGGATGGTGCAGGATGAAGTCACCCGTTCCATATCTCAAGGGGGCTGAAAGAGGGAGCAAGTAAAAGAAAACACGAGGGGCAGAGTAGCCAATATTCATGAAGGAATGTTCAAGGTATGATTACTCAGTCTAATTTTCTTTTATTAAGGTATTTGTTAAGAAAGAGCATTTTAATAGGTTAAAGAAAATAAGTGATAACAAGGTGTGAGTGGACATACAACTGACAAATGGAGGCGATTCGTAAAGGAGCTGAAAGTATGGGATTATTTGTGATTATAAAATAAAATCTAGTGCTAGAAACAGTATTGTGATATACAATTGGCTATCTTCCTTTTATTATCGAAGCTATTAGAGCCCCTTTCGTTTTTTTTGTATTATTATTTTTTTCAGGTATTATAGGGTCTTGAGTAGGCTTCGTATATTAGCGAATTGTCTAGTTTGCTTGTAATAGGATTTCTGGGTAGGAAGTGAAACCAATTCAACGTTCGTAACACGATTTAAAGAGGTATTTTGCGTGATAAATCAGCATCAATACCATAAGTTCGTGACATCCCACTAAAACATAAGGAGCCGTAATTAAACAAAATGTTCTGCCCTACAGACATGGGTGGATTGAAGTTATCTCCCCACCTTCATGTTTGCTGGTCAGTAACGCCACCCTCCCTCCTTTTGTGATGTTAGGCTCTCTTACGTTTGTGGTAAGTATGAATACTGCTTTAATCAAAGCCCATAGTTGGAATACACTGTCTCTACTAGGTCCATGTTACAAGCAAATCAGATAGTTGAAAAGTCTTTTTTTGGGGGTTAGATGTCCATATAGTATATCACACTGCTATGAAAATAACTAATGGTTTAAAGAAGTAAGGACTAATAGCAAATCAAAAGATATGAGAGGGTATAAAATTGTAGAAAGAAAAAAAAGATTTCAGGGTAAGACAAATAAAACATTGAGAAACTCACAAGACTTTGTGGCCAAATTTTGAGCTTTGTATGATCGGCCTTAGTAGATCAGCATCCATAAGGTTGAGCTATCTGTCTAATTGCAGTAGAAAAAAAAAGCATGACTTTTAGGAAGAATAATGTACATTTAACCTGTAGAGATTTGGGGACTGAAAGCTAGGGTTAGGAGCATGAAGTCATGATTAATAAACAATGAATAATAGGAAAGGATAAGCCATATATTCTGTGATTTGGTTATATTCATATTAGTAACAGTCGAACTTGTTATAATTTTGTTCTTTCTAGATACTAGGCGGTCCGTAATAAAGTGCCTCATTGGTGGGCGGGAGTTCAAGGAAATGTTGAAGCTCTTTGGAGTCTAGAAATAGGGTTATTAGCTTTTTGAATCTGGTAAACGTATCACAGTTACGGATAGGCATTGGCAGCCTGTTCCACAATAAACTGTACCGTACTGTAAAAAACTTACAACGCATTTGTTTTTGGTGTTTTACGGTAAGTAGTGTATATGCGTTGTTTCTAAGTCTATAGGCTGGGTCGTGGGTGATAGTCGGGCAGGAGGTTAGAAAGGAGAGCCCATATATCGCTTTGTAGAGAAATATTAAATTGTTTTTTAGCCTACGGTGCCATAAAGGTTCTAAAGATAGATGCTTACATCTTTCTGTGTAATCGAGATTCGAGTTACATCCTAGTAGTTGGCGTGTGAAACGTCTCTGAACATCTACTCTTATCTTGTCTGTGATATTCATATTAGAGAAGATAAAAGAGCAGTATTCAAGGGAGGGCCGTACACATATTTTGTAGAGAGTAAGCTTAGCCTCTGTTGTGAAAAAAATTTCTCATTATGAAAGCAATTAGCCGTCTAGATTTAGAAACAAAAGAGGAGACATGTTATTTAAGGTTCAGGCTTCCTGTGTAATTAATTCCTAAATCGTGTACTGATTCGAATGTTCGGACTCTACTTTTATTTAAGTGAAGTTGCGGTCTATAGGGACGTTTCCCAAAGTGTATGATCCCGCACTTGTTGAGGTTAAATGGTAATTTCCATTTTTCACTCCAGATAGTTAAGTTATTGAGATCATTTTGAACCAGGGATATACTTTCACTTAGAGTCTCAGGCTTATAGCCGTTTAATATTTTGAGATCATCAGCACATAAGTATGGTTTACCAAATTTTATTATGTTACATATATCGTTTATATACATAGAAAACAAGAATGAATCTAATACGTTTCCCTGGATGGCTCCACTTGTAATTGGTGTAGGTGACGAGAGACAGTCGTTTTACTTTACCATCTGTCTACGTTCTGTTAAGAACGAAGCAAACCATGAGTATAGCGGGTTGTTTATTCCGAAGGACTTTAGTTTTACGAGTAGCCCTCTGTGTGGGACCTTATCAAAGGCTTTCTTAAAGTCTAAGAATAGGACTGATAGAAGGAGTCCGCTGTCTCGTTTCAGAGTTATATCATTCAGGTAGTCTACTAGGCATGTATCGCATGATCTAGACCTAAGAGATCCATGCTAGGGGGTCGAGATGAGATTATCAGTAAATAGATGTTGGACTACAGCCGCCTTAACTACTTTTTCCATCACTCTGGATACCACTGAAGTTATGTTTATGGGCCGGTAATTTTCAACGTTTGCTTCAGGTCGTTTTAATTTTGGGAATGATGCGTGGTTTTCCAGGCATTAGGGTAACACGCTGTAGATAGTGATATCGCGAATAGTTTGAGCAGCAAAACACGCATATCATCACCACGTTTTAGCATGCTAGATGGAATACCATCTGGTCTATCAGTGTAGGAGTGTTTCAATGTACTGATTGCCTTGGAGATATTTTGTACATTGAATTCCACATCAGTAGTTTCACAAGGAGGTGCTGGGATTGGTTCAGAATCATTAAATGGTTTTTCGTTAGTTAGTGAGAAACAAAAGTGTTCACTAAATAATTCTGTGACGAGTTTGGGATTTTCGTATACTTGTTTGCCTTTAATGAATATACTCCCTCTCGATTTAGAACGTTTAAGTTTATTTTGGAGGAGTATGGTGAGTGCAGAGGAGTTATTATTAAGTTCAAATGCACGTTTTTCCTGTGCGACTGCTTTTTGTGTACTTATTGCCTCTGTTCGGACAAGTATTTCTGTCATCGTTACTAAAGAGGGAAAGTCATTAAAGTTGTGGAATCGAGTACAATGTCTTTGAAGACGTCTTCTTGTACTGACCGGTATATAGAGATCTTTAAAGAACGTAGGTCTACAGTATTCTAAAGGTGCGATTTTGTTAATGATACTTTTGATGTTGTGATGAAATATACTGGTTAATGTGTCGGTATTGCTTGAAGTAAAGAAAGTTCTCCAATCAGTGCTTCTTAGGTAATTGTGGAAGTTATTCCAATCAACCTTGCGATAGTTTCTATGAAGTGTTACGGTTTTACTTCTACCAGTTGTGGTTTTTATATTAAGGCTGCATACGACAATGTTATGATCACTACCTGGAAACGTTTTTCCAATATACAAAGTATTGAGGATGAGGCCACTGGTAAAGACCAAGTCCAAGATATTTTTATGTCTCGTAGGGCTATCGACATACTGAGTCCATTGTCCAAACTCTAGACATTCAATAAATGATTCATAACGTCTCAGCGCTTTGACTGGGAGCCAAGAAATTTCGGGCATGTTGAAGTCACCACAAATAAGCTTGCTTGTGAATGGTAGGGACGACGCTAGTGTGAATACCTCCGATAATACTGCTATTTCATCTATTGATGGTTAAGTTGACGATAAACACAGTCTAGCAGTAAGGTCACGGAATTCGACGGCTTTAATACAATCCACACCGAATCCTTCAGTTTGTTTAGTTCAGGCATATCACATAGTAGTGAGTTTAGGCTAGAGTGAGCGTAAATAAGACATCCTCCACCTCGTCCATTCAATCTATCGCTTCTATATAGGGAATAGTTATCAAGAGATATACTTCGGTCGGAAATATTACTGTTAGTCCATGCTTCAGATATCATAATAACTGATGGTTGATATATGGATACAAACAGGGCTAAATCCGTCTTTTTGTTGCAGATCGATCGAGCGTTGATAAGACATATATTAAGCAGGTGGCCTACTAAGTTAAAATGGGTGAGGGTATCTCGGATAAAATTGTCGTAACCCTCGCGCGTATGAGATGAGTTTGATGTGAGGGATTGGATGTTCTTCATTAGCTCGGTATTTTGATAGCTAGACTTATTGGGAGATGTATCAAATGAGCTAGTGAAGTTGATTGGGGAGTTTACCCAGGAGGAAAGGGTGGGAGTACTCTCTGGTGGAAACTGTACGGAGGAAACAAATTTATGGTTTGCATGTGGTTTGAAATAACCTGGGCTATATGCTTCAACAGAGGTGTCACTAGGGGTCTTATTCCAAAAAAATCTTGTACAGGCCTACTGTGAAGTGTATGGTTATTTACAAAATAGTCTTGATGGTTAGACTCGTAGCCCCTGTTATGGCTATTTACGTTAGCGTGAGAGGGGTCTGCTACGCGTAACTGGGAGGAGTTGCGACTGCTGTTATACATGGGAGCCGTTGTTATGTGATGGGTCGGTACTAAAGGGTGTGAGAAGTTTTCTTTCTGAGAGTAATTACAGTTGCGATCCTGGGGAATGTAGGTAGGGTGTGGAGTGAGAAACCTATTATTACCATTCTTATTCATGGTTTTAGGCTTCAGGGGGTGATTTGGGTGGCCAGTTCTCTGGTAGTTTTCGTTAGTCTGCGTGTAAGAAGGCTTGCTACGTTGAAGCCCACCACCCTTTTTGCAACTTGGAGGTGTTGAAGGCAAGTTATACGATAGCAGCGGGGAGAACCTGTTCACTGTTCTTGGGATACCTATAGAGCAGTTGGGTTCAATCTTACGTGTTTCCCTATTCGGTATCATGAGTTTTGTCTTCCCACCCTTTATTTTCAGAGCTGGAGTCTTTCGTTGTCTCTGTGAGATGAACTTACGTTCATTCAAGTCTACTTGTGGAATATCTTTAGGAGGACAAATTTTCAAGTGTATAGGTTTAGTTGGATGTGTGTTGTTACACGACTCACATTTTAGTACATTACTGAACGAACAGCTGGGATTAGTCATGTCGTTATGGTTTTTGGTGTCAGTTGGGGTCCGTATCTTATCCAAAGGTTTCTGATCTGTAGACTCATCTAGATCAACAGAGTGATCAGCCGTATGTGGAGTGGTGTCATGCTTATTGTTCGTGTGTTTTAAACTATTTGCTGTGTTGCAAACTGTCTCTGGCTGATTATTAACTGTAACACTCCCATTCAATTCTATCGCTTCGCGTCTTCTTACACGACGTTGACAGGGCGTAAGGTCTGGAGTGACTTTTATATTCTTGTATGGAATTAGTGAGCTAATATTTTTGCTCAAATTAATAAACTGCTTAGCATCGTTACAACAGCCAAACATAAACAAAAGGGGGCAAGTCGATCTGTCTGACTTTTTTCTAAGGCGGATGACTTTGCAGTTAACGTTCGGCATACCGCATGCTCTAAGGCAAATATCCCTTAACTTAGATGGGTGTGTGCGGTCGGGGAGGTTGTACACAACTGCATTGAAGGAGGACATCACTCTCTTCGTCACTTCTTCAGCCACAAACTCCAAAATACACTCAGCTTTAGTGAGTTGCTCAAGATTTCTGTCTGTATCAAGGCCCCATATATGAGTGAGGGGTGCTAATTGCTCAAGTTTGCCGTTAATTTCGGATAGAGAGTTTTGTAGCTGTCGGATGTCATTACTATATCTATCAGTATTTTGGTGTGTATGAGGTGGACCATTGGACTCTTTAGTTTTTGAAATTTTAGATTTAGGCCTTGGTAGCACATACTGTCTGGTAGACTGTGCTGCCTTTTCGATGCACGTAGGTATAGTGTCTTGTATGTCAACCAGTCTTACCGTTGGCATACTGCACGTAAAGATAGAGGGGCTGCGACATGGAGAATCTGGTGACGATAGAGACATTTGTGTACAATACACATATTTTTCAGTAGTTAAAGGTTCGACATTGTCAAGCACTAAGTCGTCAGTTGTAGGGGTTACAGATTTGGACCTTTTATTTGGCTTAGAAGTTGGTGAAATTCCTCTTTTACTGGAGTTATTGGACATGATATGAAAATAAGTGAGCACAGTGCTCGTTAAATTAAATGTAATATCTGAGTATTAGTTGTTATTAAGTATTAACCTGGTTAATACTAGGATTAGAGACTGTGAGTATATAATGAATTGCAGATCTATTTACGACTTAAGTCCGCAATAGGTACAATACGAACTGGTAATTATCCGTCGAATAAAAACAAGTTTTTTCCTTATTTTTCGGGGTAAGATGTACCCGATGTACAGGATAGGATGATAATCACTGTATAATACACCCTACAAAACAGCAAGTCGAAAAATTCCTAAACCACGTGAAAAAATGTTACCACTTTCAAAGTCCGCCACACACTGGCGACGATGGACTATTTTAGTAAATGGCGTAATGTACAGCCTTTAAAAGTCGTCTCTTCGCTTAAGTATGCCAGACTTTGGGAATCCGGAAAACACATACTACCGCGCACCATCCGGGAGGTAATAGTTTGGTAGAAAGAGCGAATAACCCAATGTCTCCTAGCTTATTGCGCATCAGTGCGTTGGTACACATGATTCTCACCCTCTAATTCCTTTTTTGGGCATGAATTGCACTTACCTGTTGATATGTCGTTGATATTATTATTATTATTATTCACAAACATCTTATGGGTACATAAGTGTTGTGAAGAAACCATTTCGGGTTTCTTCAAAAAAATGCAATAATACACAATTTTCAATAATGTCAGCATTCTACTTGCCATTTAAAAAAAAATTTGAGCAATAATAGTAGAATATTAATAATAATAAATCGAGTCTGTGTAATTGACAATATTGAATTGAGTCTAAAGAAGGAAATGCAGAAAATAAGGGAATAGAAATAAAGGAGACGTGAAATACGCAAACATTCTAATAGGCGTGTTTACGAACACAGAACAAGAATAAACGACTGTGTGTATCGTTAAATTAGTAAGAAAAAATAATTAAGAAAAAATAACTTATAATTGCAGTAAGATATGACGCTAGAATAAATGTTTGTGCAGTTATAGTTTAGAGTGATGCTATGAAAGTTACAATTAAATGAAAAGGATAATAAAATATCAATATGTATGAGTCATATATGCATAGTGAAGATAAAACGGGTCTGAGAATTTAATTTAAGTGTAACACAAGTTATTGTTTTAATTACAAACTTCGTAATCTTAAGAATAATATTTATTTAGAGGGAAAGAATGGAGTGAAAAGAAGTGAACACCTAGTGAAAAGTTTTGATCCATGATAAGAATAATAATTGTGTAATAAATATCAACCTCAGAAGGAAACCAGCAATTGCAAAAATAAAATAAAAATCCGTTAAAGCACTCGGGTGAATACATTTAGATTTATGTAATAGTATACAGAGTGAAACCGGATATTAGTATAAATATTTGTGCAATAATAATTAAGATTGATGCTATGAAAGTCAAAATTGATTTTAAAGGATAATCTGGAGTTAAATATGTTTAGAAGGATAAGGAGATATAAAAAGAATATGTAATGTGTCGGGGAACTAATAATGATATTAATAACGGTAATAATGATAAACACGAACATAAGCAGACTTCATATATTGAGATGAATAGAAATAAAATAAAATAGACGTGAAAAGATTTAAAGGTTTTATTTTGCTTTTCAAGCAATTAGGTGAATGACGGACCTTGTTTGTATAAATCATTATTGAGTACATTGATATTCAATAGGTGACATAATCCACTTTCGGAACGAAAATCGTCAAGGAGACTTCTGAACCAGGTTGTAGTTTCACTGCAACGGAGGTTCACTGGCAGTCTGTTCCACATGGTTGAGTAGCGAATAAGGAAAAAATTCTGACGTAAGTTTGTGTGGGTTCTTGGAATCGCTAGAATATTCTCCTTATTGCGTAGATTGTGGGATGATATCATAAGGTATGAAGGGGTGGATACCGAAGAGTAGGAAATACCGTTAATAAGCCGGTAGATAAAGACAAGATTTAATTTGATACGTCTGATCCAAAGAGGCT